GTTTCAAGGTCTTCGCACAGCTCCGATATAACGGTACCTCCCTATATACGATATTTTGATGATTTTAGCTACATTATTCAACGTTTATTTCAAGTTTTCGAATTTGAATATGGTAATGGCTTATGACAAACAATGCCTATGTAAGTCCACGTCGTATAGACCCCAATAAAACATCTATATTCGGTATTTCTATACCCTCCACCTTGGAGTAACATCCTTAAATATTCGTCGTAGACCCCATAAAGTATATATATTCATAATCAGCATAAAATTCTAAGTCGATTTAACGATGTCCGTCTGTCTGTCTGTAAAAATCACGATACTGCCCACATTATTTGACGTAGATCGCCAAAATTTAGCAGAGCAATTTGTATTGTGTCTAGGATGGTTGGTATTGAAAATGAGATATAAAGGTCCACGTTTTGGTATAGTCCCCATATAACGGTACCTCCCGAAATTCGGTATTTTGATTATTTTTGCCACATTTTTTCACGAATTTGTCTAAATATTGGTTTTGTTGCCCACAATGGGTTCAAGCTCGTGGGTAAATGTGACTCGGTTATCCGAGGGTACCGTTATATGGCGGCTATATCAAAACGTGGACCGATATATCTCATTTTCAATACCAACCATACTAGACACAATACAAATTGTAATGCAAATTTTGAACCTCTACGTCAAATAATGTGGGATGTATCGTGATTTCAACAGACAGACGGACAGACAGATATCGTTAAATCGAATTTAATGCTGATCATGAATATATGTACTTTATGGGGTCTACAACGAATATTTAGGGGTGTTACATACGGAATGACAAAGTTTAATTTTTCAAGGTGGAAGGTGTAGAAATTTCAAGAAAACATTCGAAGAATTTGGTCCGGCAAGATGCGACAGCCAGTGTTGTTTTTCGTTTGTTGTGTGAAAATATCTGAAATTACATTTATGGTTAAAAGTCGTCCCAAATTTCCTAATAAAAATGCAGTAAAATTCGTCGATGTCTAGATCTAGTATTCGAGTGGTATATCATTTTTTCTGCTAATAGGAGTTTGCAATACCAAATTTCATTGAAATGTGCGCAAATGTGCACTCATATGGACAATTTGCTGATATTCCGACGAATGTCGGAAGGTGCCTTTGTATGGGGTCAACACAAAAACTTGGATGCACATTGAAATGATGTTTCCTACATACTGGGAACTCAAACTACCAATTTACAGCAATTTCGGATCAAAACTATGACAAAATGTGGATTTATATAGCCAGTCTCCAATACCGCAACTATATCGAAGTAAAATTTAACTAACCGACTTTATTTCGTTTTCAAACTAGAGTGCTTTCAAAAGAAGAACGGGAATAGCTAAATCGACATAGAATTCTATGCTGATCAAGAATATATATACAGGGTGAGATGAAAAAACTGCAAGCAAACTGCTGTCATTACTAAGCCACTCGCCCGACAGCTGTTAAAATTATTCCAGTGACAGCTAATTATATTGTTTACAAGCGTACAAATGCATTTTGGTGACAATTTTCCAGAAAAAAAGTTATTCGTGGAAATCAATCGTGATAGTTTTTTTTTTGGCTGGAAAACCACAAATAAATCTTTTGTGTCTCGTACAATCGCTCGTTACCGTGATACTGATAGCGTAGCCCGACGTCAAGGAAGTGGACGGAAGAAAACAGCAACATCAGCAGAAATGGTTCGAAAAGTAAGGAAGCGACTTGATCGAATCCCCCGTCGCAGTGACCGAAAAATGGCTCGTGAGCTGAACATATCGCAACATTCCATTCGACAAATATTGAAAAATGAGCTCGGTTATAAAGCCATTGATATGCCAAAAAGTGCAAGAACTTACACCGCAACAGAAAGAAAATTGTCTCAAAAAGGCTAAAGAGTTGCTTCGCTTGGCCGAAAGTGGTGAAATGCCGAATTTGGTGTTCTCCGATGAGAAAACATTCGTTGTCCAGCAGTTTGTAAACAAACAAAATGATCGTGTTTACTTGCCAAAGAGATCAGCTGAAAATGTGCACCGTCGGTTGGCCACCAGAACTCAAGCGCCGGCCATGGTGATGGTGTGGGCCGCCATAAAAGCCGATGGTCGCTCTCCGCTCGTATTAATCGACCGTGGCATCAGAATAAATGCCGAATATTATCGCGAAAATATTCTGGATGGTGTATTAAAGCCTTGGGCTCGCAAACATTTTGGCCGCAGACATTGGACATTCCAAAAGGACTCAGCATCATCACAATCAGCACGCGCCATCCAAGGATAGTTACAAAATGAGGTTGCTCGCTTCATTTCCAGCGCACAATGGCCACCAAAATCTCCGGATACAAATCCGTTGTACTATTGTGTCTGGAGTATTTTGGAAAGCAAGGTCGGCACTAAAAATACCAAAGTGTGGGTCACCTCAAGCAAGCGCTTCGCCGGGAATGGGACAAAATACCGCAGAGCAGTATTCGGGTAGCGTGTTACGGTTTCATTGGCCGTTTAAAGGCCATAATTCGTGCCAAAGTTGACCAATTCGAAGAAATCTGAACTTATTCAAAAATATGATGCTATTTCCGACATTTTTTGCTTTCATTCAATAAAATTTATAAAAAAAAACATGTAAAAATTATGGCGTTTGACTTTGTTGCAGTTTTTTTTATCTCACCCTGTATACTTTGTGGCGTCTAGAATTTCGATGAGTTTCAAACGAAGTGACAGACTTAATATAATACCCTCCATTATTTTGGCCGGAATTCGGAATTCAATAGTCGAACGAGTTATTGCCTTCAAAACACCATAAACTGGCTCTTACCTTTATATGGGTCAAGTACCAAATTTATTAACTTATTTAATAATTTTTTTTTTATTTTTATTTATTTACTGTTTCCTGCACAACAAGATTGAAATCTTTTAAGTTAAAGTGCAGAATTACAAATGTACAACATGTCCGATTTATAATGAGAACTATCAATGTACAATGAAAATTAAACTAAATTATATTGAATATGTTTTAAGAGAATTTGTGAATACATTAAAAGGTTTAATAATAGAAGAATATTAATTATTCGAATGAGTAAAATACGTCATTGAATTTGTATGATTGTTTCACAAGTTTGGATGTATTTATGTCTGTAGTTTGCCCTTAAAGGTATATGCAGTTGCTGATGCTTTGCAATTCATGAGGGAGAGAATTCCAGAGACGTGAGGTAAGCTTCGTCTTGTCAGTGGTACGAGTTTTCCTAATAACGAGCTATACTATTGAAGGTTATGTTAGGTTTTCGTCTACCCTGGGAGTCACAATTTTCAAATAGATCACGTGCATAAATTAATCCAGGCACTTAGTAAATTTTAGCAGAGAGGCATCTAATTTTGAGTGGAGTAAATATTTCAATATTTTGTATCCTAAAAATTTCCCTAGGCATTTATTTATGGTCAAACCGTTAACGCTCGCCCAATTGCTAACTCTGTTTAGATCGTTATTATTAGGGTTATGGATACACTGGCTAACTTCACCAACAGAGCTGCTTACGTGTATATAATGTGAATGATGGTGGCCCTATGTTAGACTCTTGTAGGACTCCTTTTGTAACTGCCAAAAATTTGTACATATCATTAGAAGAATATACAGATTGTGTTCGATTGGAAAGATATAAACTGATTAGGTTTATTAAGGTGCTAGAAAAATGAATGAAGAGTCTGAGTATATGGCAGAGAGTTCACCGATCAACCATTTCGAATGCTTTGGGGTGGTCAAGTAATACAAGAAAACATGCATACCGCGATTTTAAATCAGTTAGTAATGATTCAGGGTGAAGGTATTCTGAAAGCTGTTAAGAATTATTTTCCCAAGGACCTTGGACAAGAATGGTAAAATAGTACTCGGGCGAAACTCCATATCAGGTTTGGGTACATGTACAATTTTTGCATGTTTCCACATGGTTCGAAACGTATAGGTAGACAGGATGGCATTGAATGCATGAGTGAGGTAGGAAGTAATATCCGATTGAACTTGGGATCAATTTCATTCGGGTATTTTCGGGCTGATCTAGTTATTCTTCGATTACTTAACACTTAATTGGAACTTATTGGAATTCCGCCTCCACAGTTTTTTCAATTTTGTTTTTTTTTTTTTTATTTGAATGAATGAATATGAAATGGATGTTTACCGGGTTTGATCAGAAAACGAGAGGTCTTCCATGACCCTCCGTGCTGCTTTGGCCCAATGTAACCCGACGTTGAAACGCTGTATGAAATAAGCTATCAGAAGAGCTTGACGATGAGCAACAGATGATTGAACACTTCTGTACATTTTATAGCAGTCACTACTACGTTAATTCTTCTGATACAAATTTGTAGCAGAAAAATAATTTCGAAATAAGTAATCAACTCAACATGTCATCCAAAATATGAAGGGAACGTTACAAGCCCAAAAGAAAAAGAAATTATACCAAAAAAAAATTAAACTCCAAATGTTTTCGTCCACAAGACCAAAAAAAAAAAAAAAAAAAAAAAACATTTCTCGATACGGTATCTCTAATTGAGAAATACATAAAGATAAATTAATGAAAATAAAAAAGGAATAAATTCTGACAAAATGCGATCGTGCCAGACACAGACACTCATGCCAATAAAAAATGGACAACAAAAAACTACGCCAAACTGTTCCAAATATCGCTGATAACATTTTGGATGACAAAACCAAAAACAAAACTACAAACAAGATTTATTCGACCAGCCCAATACGCAGTGCAAAAGAACCACCCAAACACTAGACAGGTCTTAGACTGCATACGCACGATGGGGCACCTACTCGTGCCTCTGCTAGAACCTGCTGTGGAACAACCAGCAGTCAGTCACTCATATATAAATGTCGACATTTAGTTGGCAAATATCATAGTTCAGCTCAGGAGTTGCAAGCGATACAACCAGTGAAGCACAAAAGTCAATAGGACCAAGCACCACAACAGTCATCCTTGCGGAACACACAAACCCTCATCAGCTAAAATGTTCAAGGTAACTAACAGATCAACGAAACAAATGGACACAACACTCACTTATTTCCAATTCTTTACAGTTATTCTGTCTCCTGATTGTCGCCACCAGTGCTGTGCTTGCCATCGAATACCCATTGGGCCATGGACTGCCCTACCATGCTCCTGCGGCCATAATCAAGCCTGCCCTGATCAAGACAGTGGAAGTTGAAGCGCCGGCGCATTATGACTTTTCGTATTCTGTGCATGACGAACACACCGGCGACATTAAGAGCCAAACCGAATCCCGCAAGGGTGACCAAGTCCATGGCCAATATACTCTGGTTGATGCCGATGGCCTCTTGCGTACCGTAGACTATACTTCGGATGCCCACAATGGCTTCAATGCTATCGTACGACGAGAACCTTTGGGCCACAAGGTTGTCAAAGCCATTGCTCCCGTTGCCAAAGTTCTACCCCTGGCTCACTACCACTAACTGAACTGACGTGATGTGAAGTCAACGAAACATAATGAACGGCCATCTGTCGCGTTGATATCGCTCATGACTGCTAATCGACCGATTATCATCCTGTACAAGACCTTCCAACCAATCTTCCGACACGCTGCCTTGTCATATCTATTGCTAAGCACATACCTTCCATTTATTTGTACTTCTTTCCCATGTATTCTTCTTGATCGAATGCGTTCGCCATACCCATACACCTCGTCCCACTGGCACCCTTGTATATACATATAAACATATATTTTTAATTTGTTTACTTCATCTATGCATAATTAATAGTAATCTAGTTACATACATACATATGATGCATGCGGATACAAGTATAAACGCTAGCCAAAACACAGTCAACACACACACACACTCTTTTAATAAACAAAGGAAATTCGATTAAATAAAATCGAAAACTTGAATACAAATGTAGTTTGAAATAATCATGTCGTGATTGCGTAGCATACTTTAAGGCAGGACAAAATAATAGCTTAACAGAACTGTTCAGAGGTTCTACAATACAATAAACAAAGTTACAGACGAAGAAAAACTCAGAATTATTCGAAGACGATTTTTGGGAAACCTCTTCAGATTTTGTTGCATATTTTTGTTTGACGATGAAGTTTTCGATTCGATAACCATATGCAGTATCTTGTTTATTTGCCGTTTAAACAGTTTGATAGACACTGCGAACTTTTTTTTCATATTTTCCCCTTAATTGTTCTATATTTTTTAAATGTTTAAAAGAGGGACAAATTTTTATGGTAAAGCAATTGGCAATTTAAAAAAAAATAAAATCCGTTAAAAATTCTATTGAAATCTAAAAAAATACCGAATGTAGGGTCTATAAGACGGCATGGACCAGCATAGGCAACTTTTGTTACAAGCTATTACAATATTCAAATGCGAAACTTGAAAAAAATCTGTTTATAATGTAGCTAAAATCATCAAAATACCGAATATAGGGAGGTACCATGGGGGTTATAAAACGTAGACCTGCACAGACAATTTTCTGGCATAGGCTGCAGTATCCATTACGAACTTTAAATACAAAATGTGAAATAATTCCGGTAAATAATGTCGCTAAAATCATCCAAAAGCCGAATATCGGGGGTTCCGTTATATGGGGGCTATACGAAGACGTGGATCCGCACAGACAATTTTCTGTCATAGGCTGTAGTATCCATTACGAACTTCAAAAACCATATTTAAAAAAGTTCCGGTAAATAATGTCGCTAAATCATCAAAATACCGAATATCGGGGGAACCGTTATATGGGGCTATTCGAAGTCGGGGACCTGCACAGACAATTTTCTGTCATAGACTTCAAATACTAAATTTGAAATAGTTCCGGTAAATAATGTCTCTAAAATCATCAAAATACCGTATATCGGGAGGTAACGTCATATGAGGCTATACGAAGACGTGGACCTACATGGCTCATTTTCAATACCAAAAGTCTTGCAGACATAATACAGTTTTGAGTAAAATTTATCAACCTACTTCATTTCGTTCGGAAGCTAGAGTGATTTCCACAGACGGACAGACGGATTTTCGTGATTTTCAAACGGAATGACAAACTTAATATACCCTCCATACTATGGTGGAGGGTATAAAAAAGCAGCTAAGTTCAGCCGGACCGAACTTTTTATACCATCCACCATTTTGAAGAACTTAGAAATATTTCAAATGAAATCCCTTGAAAAATACAGCTCAAATGAAACCCGTTACATTGGGGCCATACGAAGACTTGGTCCTGCATAAGTAATTTTGTGTCATAGGTTGTAGCATGGTAGAAAATATAGGTAGATGCATCAACGCTTGGGAACATTGATATGTCAAAATTTTTAAAATGTTTTGTCAAAAACAAGTAGATTTTTATATGTTTTCTTATACGACGCAAATCGCAGGTTGTAATCTTTGCAAATGTCAATGATTTTTCATTCAAGATTTTCAATTCCAAAATCGGTTTGACATTTCATTGTCCCAGCAGCTGTGTCGATGCGACTACCTGTATTCTTCTACCATGGGTTGTAGTAACGGTTCCGAACTTTATATACGACATTTGAAACACTTCCGGTGAATATTGTCGTAAAAATTATAAAAATGCCGAATATCTGGGGGTACCGTTATTTGGGCGCCATACTAAAACGTGGACCTATTTAGATAATTCTCTTCCAGCGCATTAAGTACTCACAAGGAATTCCTTGTGTGAATTTTCAGAATTGGAATTTTCAAAATACCGAACATCGGGAGGAAACGTTATATGAGGGCTATACGACATCGTGGACCTATACGGGTGAGATGAAAAAACTGCAGCCAACTTCAGACTGCTGTCATTTCTAAGCCACTCGTCCGACAGCAATTAAAATTATTCCAGTGACAGCTCATCATATTGGTGAGAATTTTCCAGAACAAAAGTTATTCGTGGTGGAATTCAAGCTTGATAGTGTGATTTCTTTATATTTGGCTGGAAAACCAAAAGTGGCTACCGTGAGAGCACTACAGCATTTAACTGTCAATAAATCTTTTGTGTCTCGTACCATCGCTCGTTAACGTGATACTGGAACAAGGAAGATGACGGAAGAAAACAGCAACATCAACATGCGACACATAGTTCGAAAAGTAAAGAAACGACTTGATCGAAACCCGCGTCGCTGTGGCCGAAAAATGGTTCGCGAACTGGCTCGTGGTGAACTGCCGAATTTGGTTTTCTCCGATGAGAAAACATTCGTTGTCCAGTAGTTTGTAAACAAACAAAATGATCGTGTTTACTTGCCAAAGAGGTCAGCTGAAAATGTGCATTTTCGGTTGGCCACCAGAACTCAAGCGCCGGCCATGGTGATGGTGTGGGCCGGCATAACAGCCGATAGTAGTCATCAGAATAAATTTTTTATCTCACCCTGTATAGGCAATTCTCTTTCAGGGGTTAAAGTGCTCACAAAAAAACTCCTTGTGTAGAACTTCAGACAATTCCTTTGAAAAAAAATACCGAATGTGTTACGACCGGAATGAGGAACTTAATATACACTCCATACTGTGTGAAGCCAGGAAAGGCCAGCGAAGGAAAATATTAAATAAAACACGAAAACTAATAAAAAAAATTAAATTACAACCTCTTTTTCGAAAACCAAAAAAGAAAATTCCAACAAAAATGACATCATGGTAGAAGAATACAGGTAGTCGCATCGACACAGCTGCTGGGACAATGAACTGTCAAACTGATTTTGGAATTGAAAATGTTGAATGAAAAATTATTGAAATTTGTAAAATTTATTGAAAAATCCTTATTATAACAACCTCCGATTTGCATCGCATAAGAAAACATTTAAATATCTACTTATTTTTGACAAAACATTTTAAAATTTTTGACATATCAATGTTCCCAAGAGTTGACGCATCTACCTATATTCTTCTACCATGGATGACATTAACACAAACATCCGTCACCATGACCCCAAATTCCCAGAGGTTGTAAAAGGCAAAAAGAACATTTACACTATCTAAATCAAGTCGATGGAATCAACTCTCACATCCAGTGAATTTCACTTGACGTACACGCAATGGAATTGACACTTGAAATCCATTGGATTTGTATATGTGTATGGCGTTTTAGCAAATTGTGCTCGCAGTTGGTAGAATTATATTAAACTAGTTGGCCCGGTCCGCGTTGCCGGCCCGTAGTTTTTGTCTATTATGCATATTTGTTAAAGCATAATTATTCACAGATATGACTGATATAAGTGTTCACGTACAGGTCGATTAAAAGTGTTTTAAAATACCTGTACCCATTTTTAAGTCGTAGCAAAATCTTACAGTCAAATGAGCAGTAATTTGGAATTTACTGTATTTTGTATACTCCATAATTGAGGGCTGAATGATCTAAGAATAGCCAAAATTAATTACTTTTTTAAACCCATTAGTACCTTAGATTGTGCATTAGAGTCCTCATAAGCACCCCTAACCATGTCGGTCTGTTTGTCCGCCAAAAGGTGGACTTGAGAGGGTATTATTACATGGAGAAAATTCTAATATGTTGAAATTTTTGTGTAAGATTTTCACTCCCTCATACACATTATTAGCCAAATTCTTTGAAATATGGTAAAATTAGGAGGTACCTTCTTTATATGGGCACTACTCCGAAACATCGACCTACATTGAAAACTTTCTTCTACCCCTTACAATCCAAGATGACAAATAGAGGCCAAATCAAAAATATAGCAGAACAATATAGCATGTCATAGCATTTCGCGTGATTTAAATAAGAAAAAATTGTTTTATCCACCTCATAATTGAGAGCAGAATGATAAGATGGGAATTAATTTTATTTGCCATTTAAATTGTAAGTTGGAGACCCCTTAAAGCCCATATTTTCATCATAGTATAATTCGATGATGATTTAACAAATATTCGGTCCTGTGCTACTTTCTTATATTTGTAATTTGTTCATGTTTCCACAATTTATTTCATATAGATGTACATCCCAAATCCACGTTCCCAACCAATATTCTCTTGGGGGTTACAAATTCAATAGAATACAAAATTTTCTTTTCTGATCACACATTAGATCTGAAAGTAGACTTGGGGATACTCTAATGTGGGGACTTTACTTAAATAAATTCCTATGTGGCAATTATTTGTATGATGGTTCCCTACCCCAGGGTAGCAGAAACTTAATTTTTTAGCCAAATCAATTGATTAATGTGGTCAAGACCAAAATGGGCCCTACTCTGAAAATTTCAAATTTTATGCGAAGAGGTTCTCTACCCCCTTAGAAACAAAGATGCCAAATAAGGGCCAAAATATGAAAAAAGTGGCCAAGACCCCAAAATATCTTAAATCATACGATGGTTATATAAATATTAAATCGGGTTGTTCCCTTATCCGTGAGTTATGATCGATATAAAAACCTGCAAAAGCGATTTAAGGTATTTTGAATGTTTGGGAAGAATTTCTGGAAGGATATAAAACCTTTTCTTGCTAAAAGTCCCTTTCCTTTGTACCTTTTATATTTGGAATTTTACTGATTATTCTCCCAAAAATTTTTGCATTTTGAGTTCTCGTTGGACGGATCATTGTCATATGAAAGAAGTAGGTCCACGCTTTGAAATTAGCCCCATTAGGCTTTTTCGGTCATTTCTGTTTGTTTAAATGTGTTCGCATCTTCCAGCTGAACCACGATGTAGGCCATGCAGTTGAAGGGTAGATGTCAGTTAACACCCTATTTCGATTCGATTTAATTTAAAATTCGATTCCATTGAAATTTTTTTAGATTTTTTCCCGATTTTAGAATTTTTGCAATGAGATCTCTTTTTCATGATTATTTAGCGACTTTGAAGAAGTAATTATCTTTTAACTTTGG